CATTATTATTGTTACAATAATTGTAATTCAACGAAGCAAAATTTTTCAGAAAGCATCATTGATCTTATCGTTTTTTCGATTTGACTTCTACTTTTATCTTTTGTCTAATTCGCGCTATAAAAAATAAAAATAATTTTAATTTGCCTATTACGATTTTAAATAATATCGCGTTTAATGTGTTTCAGATTGACTGTATTTTTTAATTTAAAAATTATAGATTATTGATCAATTCTTAAGTTAAACGATTGTTAATCAGTTTATTGTCTGTTAACAATTATCTAATGATTTTGAACTAAATGAACGAAAACAAAATATATTTTAATATATTATAATATACTCTAATATTTAAAAAAAAAAATATTAATGAAATTTTATTTTATAATTATTCTTTTCCTATACGTATATTAATATCATAGAATTCATTTATATTTAAACCTTTTAGTATAACATTTATAATTTTTACATTAAATGTATAATTTTAACGATTTGTGGATATTATTATATAGTTTAATATAATAGTAATATTATAGCATATATTATAATATCTATTTATTATTATATATTATATATATAATATTATATAATTTAATTTCTATAGTTTTTATAAATGTAACTGAGATATAATAATCATGATAAATAAATATTTTTTTTAAATATAATTCATATTAATTTTTTACTTTTACTTAATTTTATTAAATAATACATTTATATTAAAAAATTATTATATATTCATGTACATAATATATGTCAAATTCTTTAAACATACATCAAAATTTAATGAAATTTGAGACATTACATTATTTTCCTAACTTAATTTGTTATAAAAGAAAAATCTAAAAATTTACCGTAATATTTTTTTTCATTGATTTTTTTTTATTTTTCTACATTTTAAATTTTCATAAAATCGTAGATATAATATTAGATATGAAAAATTAATTTTGACTAAATCATGGAAATGTTTTTTTTTATTTTCAAATATATTTTATATAATATATTTGCTATTATAATACAATTATTAATAGTTATTATTAGCTATTATAATATAGTTATTTAATAGTTATTATATAATAGTTATATAATAGTTATATAATATAATAATTGTTCATGTAAAATGTTTTGAAAAATCTAGAAAACATTAGAAATAGAAAAAATGTTGGATAAGATATCAAATATTATTTTTTAATTTGGTTTTATTAATTCGTACTGATTTTCTTCGTTATCATCTCTATATATGAAAAAATTAAAATGAAATCACAAATTTATATTTTATCTAGTACCTTTTTTTAATATCATAAATTAATGAATAAAGAGTTAAACGATAAGTAACGATAAATAATGAAAAATAAATTTTTAGAAATGAATTGAATCATAAAATAATTTTGATATTTCGTTATTATATTGATATTATTTATTTATTCATAGATATATATAAGATTATTTTCTTAGAATAATTTATTCATTTTACAATTAATGTATTTCAGAGTTATCTATTATGATTTCATTAAAATATCAAACAAACAAATTCATCACAAAATATTTTATTATCTGCAATATATAATAAAAGACAAAGAAATTATCAATATTGTTATATTAAAAATTCGATAAATAATACATAAATTTTCTTTTAGAATTTAGAGGATTATACAATGTTTTAAAATAATGATATGAATTTTATACTAACAATAATTGGATAAAATGATAAATAAATTCATCAATTAATTTTTCATCTTATAATCAAATATAACTATAAAATAATTATAATCAAAGATAACTATAACATTATGATTTTTTATAAATAATTTTATTGCTATATCACATAAGAATTAAAAATCTGCACAAAATAAAATCTAATTTTGAATTCTGAAGAATTATCACTGAAGAATATCTTCTCATATATCAATTTCAAATCAATCTGTTATCATTTCCGCAGATCACGCTAAATAACTCAAAATGAATCAGTCGTAAATTCAAGAAAATAAATAAAAAAAAAAATCATATAAGATTATTATAATAAAATTAGTTATTCTTTTTTTAAAAAAATTCTTTTTTTTATATAAAAAATAAAAAAGTTACACTTATTTTCATTTAGGATCTTTCTCTTGTCATTTTCCCTATTTCCAAAATTCAAGATTGCAAAATTATAATAAAAAATTTAGTTCATCAAAATTATAACTCTTCCTTTTTATTTTATTTTTCCTATTATTTTATGTTATATCGACTTATTTTTTTTTATATTTTTCTAAATTACAAATAGATTATAATAACAAAATAAATAATCATACATCAAATTTGCATTATTTTATTACTTATTGTTTTTAATAGATATAAATAATTCAAAAAATTGATCTATTTCAAAATGATTTATTTCTTATTATCATTTTATTATTATAATTTATTTATTTTTTATATTTATAGATTACACTTTTATACAATCACATTTTTTTAACAATAATAATATTATAATATAACATAACTAAATTATATTTATTTAATATCTATTATCTATTTCTTGATTTCAAAGATTAAAATTTACAAGATTTGATATATATATGATTACAATATTGAAATATTAATAGATTAAATTAGATTAAAATGAAAATAAGAAATTTAACTTCTATATATATAAAACCTATTTAATATAAATATATATAATTACTAGAATTTAATTTATTCCTGAAACAGATATGCTTCTCATTTTTACTAAAAACAAACTATTAATGAGAATACAATAACAGAATGATTAGAATATTTTTGATTACTTTAAATTACTTTAAAATCTGATCATTTTATTAGTTAACTATGTTTAATCATCAAATACTTTGAAAATAATCAAATTTTCATTAATTCAATAAATAACATAAAAAAATTAATTAAATAAGTATGAAATATTCAAAATAAATTAAATAATTATGAAGATATTCAGATTTCAAATCATTTCGATATTTTAACCACTTCGATATTTTAATATTTAATTAATCAGTATAAGATTAATTAAATTTATATTCATTATTTAATTATATTTATATTTATATATATACGTTTATATACGTATATATATGTATATATATTCTTAAATATTATTTTTGATTGCTATATCTAAATTGATACTGACTAAGAAAATTGTGTGTCAAAATATTATTTATCGATAAAACCATTCTTTTCTTATGTATTGCCCTATGATATTTTTATTTTAATAATGTAATAATATAATTAAAATTTTTCTTATTAATACATTCAATATCGATATATATATACGCGCGCGTGTGTGTGTGTGTGTGTGTGTGTATGCTATAATCAGATACAAAAGTATTCGTCTTTTATATTACAAAAAAATTTTCTTTCAGTTATTTAAATAATTCTTCAGATTTTTTATAAAAAATAATTCTAAATCATAACATCAAAATTAATTTTTCTATAGAATAGAAATAATTTTATATTAGAAAAAAATTATCTTACTTCTGAATATATTATATGTACTCTATAATTTATCAAATTTTTTTCAAATATATTATTCATAAATAAAATACTATGTAAAATTACTTCTTTGAACAGATTTTACATTATTGGAAAGATTAAACATTGAAATAATTCTACTGATTATCCATATCTTTTGTTAATTTTACGTTTGCGCCTTGGAAGTGATTACTTGCAATAAACACTCGCTTGCTAAATAGATTATAATTTCTTTTAACATCATTAGATTCGACTGTTTAGATAACATGAATGAAAATGGAATGCAATTTAAAATTTTCAAACACACAAAGTACAAATAATATATCGAATAGATATATTACACTATATAGTACACTATATAGTGTACTATATAGTACACTAAATATATTACTTCATTTATCAATAATAACTATCTTTCAATTACTTATAGTATAATATAATATTGTATAATGTAATATTACATTCTTAATATTATAATATTATATTATATTTAATTTTTATTATATATATATTATATTATATTATATATAATTTTTTCATTTTTAATTTATAATATTATACAATGTAATATTATATTTTAATATTATAATATATATAATAATATTAATTATTACATAATTAATATAATTATAATAAAAATAAAATTA